GTCAAATATTTATAACATTATATTTTCAGAAGATAATTTAATTCTTTAATTAGGAAGCAATGTCATCTGGACAGTCCACATGCCTAGGATAGATCTACAATTATAGAAGTTATATAACCTTTTTATATAAATGAAATCAACTAGTACTACACCAATGTTGTAACTTGTAAGCAACCGACCAACTTGTATGATTTGTTGGCAAGTCAATACAATTATTTCTTGAAAAAAGCTAAATCTAGTGTACAAGCCCCTCACAAGAGGGGGGCTCACAGTGATTAAAATAATTGTAGGCTCCCTCTCTTTTTCGGACATTATTTAGCAATGAAAGACATGTTTACTATATTAGTTGAATATAATTGAACAAAACTAAGAAATAAAGAAATCTGAAATGTTTATTTATCGTTCGATTTTTAGTAAAATCTTAGTTAGCCCTCATTTGATACAAACAAAAGTCAGATTTTTAGTAGATTTTGATAATAATTAATGAAATGTGAGATTGGAAAATTATGAATTTGAACCTATCTAAATTAATTATTGATTTTTACTTAAATTTCAATAATCTAAAAAAATGAACAAAAAACAGGGGCTCAGTATACCAAGGGTTTGAGCCCAATTTTTATTGAGAATATATTTTGTAATAGTAATTTTTTTNGTTGAGCCCCACTTTATGAGGAAAATAGGATTTGAAACAGTGATTTTTTGATGAATGTGTAGTTAAAAAATATAGAAAAATTATGAATTTACATTTAAAATTATTTTATTGAGAGATCGTGTGGTTAAAAATAAATTTGAAAAAAATTGAATTTTTAAAAATTGGAAATCAAACAGGGGCTAAATAATCTGTCGTAGAACAGAAAAATTTGCATCTTTGATTATATCATATTTATTTTTAAAAAATATAAAATTTATTTAAAAATACTTTGACCCAACTTTTAATTCGTCTACGTCAATTTTTGACAGCAGCCAATCACGGCGTTGCTTTAAATCCTTTAATTATGTGAAAACATATCTGTAAGTGAAGCATTGAACTTCCACACAACATGCTACAATTGGTAGACAAAAATAAAGCATCTTCAGAGGAATATTCTGTAGTTGAAAAGTGTGACAATGCGAAACTGTTGACCAATAAATATCAGAAAGTAAAGTGAATACTCGGACAGCGCTCTACGACTCCTTAGTGAATACAAGCCACATATATTTTTTTATTTTTTTAAAATTATTTTTCTCTTGAAGTCTTTTCTCATATTTATTATTTTTTGATAAATAGATTAACAAAATTTATGAATTTTGAAAAGGAGAAAACCCAAAAAATACTTGGGAAAATTAAGATCACATTCCTCGACTTTGAAAAATAAGGTTCTAAGTCATCAACTAATTAAAAACTTGTTTGGGGGAGATTTTAATTCAATTAAAATTGAAAATATAGCTGTTATTGAATTTCATCCGTCTAATAAAAGTCAACAATAACGACTAACTTTTCAATTTTAATCCGATTTTAATTATTCCCAAACAAGTTCTAAATATGTAAAATTGAATTTCCATGGGATCGAAATTATCGAAGTACACATTAAAATCGTTTCGAACTTCACGTTACTTAGAGAAATAGTATCGTCTTTATATTCGATTCAACTGAAAGTCGTGTACGATTTTAATGTGTACATTGACGGTTTTGGTTAGTTGAAGACCAAGATTAGTAAATGTAACTATGTTAGAGACCTGTAATGTCACTTATGACAGTCGTGAATTCTTAACCATGTTACGTAAAAGGTTGGAGCGTGGCATAATTTTCCCAAAATATTTGGAGAAAAAAATGGAAAAAGTAAAGGGGGGGAATAATTTGGCATTAAAACTAATTTTTCTAAAATTATAAATTCTTCTTTACGAATTTTTCTGTATCATCCCCAGAAAATAGTTCTTCACAAATTCTTCTTCTCTTCTTGCTCTGTCCTATATATAGCTGTCTTATGCGAAGCATTGGATCACGACACACTCTCTCTCTACCTCTGATCCCCTTTCATCGAGAAATTCAGAGAATCAGAGGCCCGGAATTGAGGTACGGTATTACACGAAAGTTTCAATTTCTGGACCCATAGAAAAAGTAAAAGAAACCATAATTTTCAAATGCAATCCCTTTTTGCACGAGCTGCATCTCTGTTTTTTTTCTTTTGATGGGCTAATATTTTAGATATTTCTTTTTTCAATGTAACTTTGTGGGTCGGGATCAAAATTTACCTTTTGATTTCTGTCAAATTCGTGATTGTCGCTGCCTTTTCTCATCTTTTGCAAGGTCTTTGCCTGTTTCAGTCCATTTCCGGATTCAAAATTTGGGTTAAGAGAAAAGAGTGAAGAATTTGATGGCCAGTAGGAATCTGGAGAAATTGGCATCAATTGATGC